TTCAAACAACAGCCAGGAAGTCCACCGCTCCAACTATTGGAGCAACGTCATCGACGCCACCAAGGCAGACGTATGTAACCGCAGCTGCAAATCTGGTGGATTTCTCGACGGGTGACGACAGAATGGAGTCTGGAGATGAAGACGACTTTGTATTGGAGAATGGTGACGCAGAGGCGGCCAGCGAGAGCTCTGCAAGCGATGCTAGTGATCCCGAGGGAACAAGTGATGAAGAAGATGCGGTGGCTTTGTCGGTGGGTACGACCTTTGACAGAATGAGCAAGGAGAACCTGAGCGAGCACGCGAAGACGGGCTGGACAGCATACTTCGAGGACGAAAGTAAGTTCAATCCTGTACGGTACAGGTTTGCATTTATCAAACCCGTTGGACTATCCTGTATTATCCTCTAACTTTCAAACTGTGTGCTGAATGCAGGCTGCTCTCTCGATTTTCCTTCGGCAAGTCTGACCAACTGCACAGCAGCTTCAACTGAGAACGCGGAAGCACTCGGGTGTAATATGGAAGGACTCTTCTTCCTCTTTCTCCCCAAGGAGATGTGGATATCCGTCGCAAAGAAGTCCAATAGCTACCAGCGCCAGTTCCGGTCCCAAGCTATGAATCGATCATGATTCGCCAGCGCCGCATGAAGGAGAGACGCCCCGAGTACAAATTGAAGACTCTGCAACAAGTGAAGAAGGAGCTTGACGCATTCAAGCCTATCCAGCCGCATGAACTGGTGCATTTCATTGGTCTACTATGTGCAAGAACATTATGTCCGCATCGCGAGAAGCTAGCAAAACACTGGGCTTTCGATGCACAGGGCGCGGTACCAAAAGGCACCTTCGGACGTTTCATGTCAAGAAAACGCTTCGAAGCAATTGTGCGGTTCATGCACTTTAGCAACAACAACGACGCCTCTGCAAAGCAATACAAGACTTGGAAGATCAAGCCCATTGCCGATACAATCAATAAGACGTTCAAGTTAGGCATGAGTGTTGGACAGCGCATTGCATTTGATGAAGGTATGATACCCATGAAGAGCAAGTACAACCCCATGCGGCAATACCTTCGTGCCAAGCCCCATCCATGGGGTACCAAGTGCTACTTGACGTGCGACGCTGCAACGGGTTACTGCTACAGGTATGTCAAAGAGAATCTATGTATTCTACAGGTTAGCGTCTAACAAGCTGTGATTGTTATCCTGTGCAGGGCTGAAATCTATCAAGGGCGGCTGACGAGTGATAGTGCTGATCTGAACCAGGGACCAAACGCGGTAATTCGCAACCTTGATGCTGTGCTCGACGGACTGCCGAAAAAACGACTCGTCATTACGGATCGGTTCTACTCGAGCGTGCTGCTGTCTTCGATTCTCCTACAACGGGGTCTTTATCACGTGGGCACCATTCAGACGAACCGGCGCGGATATTGCAACACGACTCCATACAAGCAAGCCAAGAGGCCAAAGAAGATGAAGAGAGGGTTGTATCGAATTGCACAGTCAAAGGTAGAGCCAAGCATGGTGGCCGTTTCGTGGATGGACAACCGTCCCATTCACTTCATTGCCACGGGCTGCGGTACTGGTGTGGTAAGTTTGGTAAGACGTGCAGGCGCTGACACTGTTGACGTCCCAGCACCCCAGCTCGTCAAGGACTACCAAGACGGCATGGGAGGCGCAGATATACATGATCAGTTGCGGCTCCAGCGATATTCAATACAGGTACTACCATTTGTATCCTACACTACTTTGGTTTCATATTGACAATTGTTATCCTGTACACTACAGGGAGCGATGAAAATGAAGAAATACTATCACACTATCTTTCTCGGACTCATTGACATGGCGTTAGTCAATGCCTACATCATCCATCGCCGCGTCAAAGCAAGATTGAACCCTGGTCGTGCTCCACCCACGCACGCAGAATTCATGAGATCTATGCAAGTCGCATTGCTGAACGTGGGAGCTGCCGACTTCGAAGAAACTTATCTGTCGAAGCTTTGGTTGATACAAGCGTTGTGCCGTCGACACACCCTCGCTACACACTCCCGGCCCATCACACACCTCGCCAAGTGGATATTTTTCGCACGACAAGAGCAAAAAACGGAAAAGAATCGAGCAAAAGACGTCAGTACGGATGCAAAGTGTGTTCATTACTTCGCCCGGCAAAGGCACCGTGGGAGACTACGTTTTACTGCGTTGAGTGCTCAGAGGAAAGGATGAATCGCCAGTCGGGGGCACGAGGAAAGATTTACCTATGCCAAAGGGTTCGCCAGCACGACCCGTCGGGATCAATAAACTCAGCAACTTGCAGCCAGATTTGGCACAACCTTTGGGGCGCTGGTGCTCGTATACCCCCTGGATTGAAGACAATTCGCATGCGCTCACCAAGCGGCTCAAGCTCGCGCCGCACTGGAGAAAATATTGATGACAGCGATGAAGAAGAAAGCTCGGCCAACGAATCTTCAAGGGAGGCAGAAATCGAGGTTAGTGCAGGAGACGTAGGCAGTATTGAAACAGCGTGCATCTAATACAAAGCTGTATGAAGTGTCAACCGCGTAACACTAGGAATGATTGTAGTCCGTTAGAGTGAATGCACTTGTAGAATTTTGGAATTTTTCTCTACATCTTCATTGCGTTAATCCTGGTTAATACAGAGAACAGCGATCCCTTACATTGACTGATAACCTGTACGGA